CAAAACAAATGTTCACCCATAATGGAATTACACTGTACCACATTGCACAAGTTTTATCCTTATACCATGATTGGTTTATATTTGAATTTTTATTTGTAAACTTATATATATTAGAGTTAAGCCTGATGATGAGATCTAATTGAAAACAATGCTGTTCACTTCAATGTGTTGTTCCAAATTTTACTATGGGAATATTTAATATATTATAATCTAGAATATTCTATGTATTTGAACTGCGAGAACTCTTTATCAATAGTAACTGGCGACTTCAATGGAAGCGATTGCTCCTTCCTTATATCACTTGGTCATGGCAATATTGTTAACTTTGCCACCCGTCTTGGTAAAACACTGGATCTAATATTTATCAATGATATTGGTATATATGAAGCTCGCAAACGTGCTCCTTTACTTAACTCTGACGACTGTATCATACGTGTACTGCCTAAAATATATTCCAAATCACACAAAGGTGTCCTCTCTCACCTCTACAGTAAAGTTCAACGGAGATGCTACTCACAAGACAACCTAGACAAGCTCAGATGCATGTTGAAAGACACTAACTGGGACTTATTTACAGAACAAACATTAGATGAAACAATCACAAACACTACCGATTATCTTAAATTCTGTTTCGAAATATGTTGTCCTAAAGAAACATTATTCATCCGATTTGATCGCTTATCTTCGCCATATCTCAAAAAGCTACGTAGAGATAAAGAACTGTTGTTCAAAACAAATGATAAGCCTGGTGTAAAAAAGTTAAACATTCTGATAAAACTGGAAATGAAAAGACTAAATGTTTTATATAATCAAAGATTTTTGTCATGTAAAACCCCTTCTAATTTGTGGAAACTTTTCAAAGAAATTACTAGCGGTAAGCGATGTATTTCTGTTCCATCTCTTAATGTTGACACTCTTAATAAGTCCCTCATACGCTCTTCTGTTGATATCCTTCCTAATGATACAAATCATATTGACAATAATTTTAGTGGTTTTAATACCCTTGATTTGCTTAAACGTCTCCGGTCTCTTAAGCCTTTCCAAAGCCTTGGTCCTGACGGTGCAGGTATGCCGTTTTTTCATAAATATATATGTATTCCATACATAAAAGTGCCTCCTCCATGTGATTGGTGCGATCAAGGTAACTCGCTGATTGATTGGTAGTTAAGCCTTCTCAAAGCCTTGGTCCTGACGGCATACCTGCCATTGTCCTCAGGAATTGTGCTGATATTTTGTGTTATCCTCTTACTAACATTTTTAATGCTTCTTTTTCCGGTAACGTTCTACCTTTTGCATGGAAAAACATTAAAATTATCCCTATACCAAAACCATCTTCTGGTTCTGATATTAAATTTCGGCCTATTGCAATTACTTCCCCCTTTTTAAAATTGATGGAAAAATTACTTTTACTTCGTCTTGAACCCGCATTGATCCTAAACAATTTGCATACAAACATGGTAGAAGTACCTTGGATGCTGCGGTTGTCTTATATCACAATGTTGTCTCTTGTTTAGACAAAGGTGCTAAATATGTTCGTAGTGCTTTCTTAGACTACACATCTGCTTTTGACTCTGTACCTAGGGGCCTTTTATTAAATAAGCTATCGTTGACACAAACAGGATCCTGGGCTAAGAGTTGGTTGCATTCCTATTTTTCTGATAGAATGCAGTATACTGTATATAACGGCAAATCTTCTTCTACCTCGCTTACAAAATCCGGTGTTCCACAAGGTGCTGTCCTCTCTCCTTTTCTTTTTTCTTTCTTCCTACATGACCTGCCTCATTCAAACGAAACTAACTTTGTCAAATATGCAGATGATCTGACTGTATCACTGCCTATCACTTCCGAGTCTGACAGCTCCAAACTTAATAGCTTTCTGTTGGACATCAACAACTGGTCCAAGTCAAATGGTCTTATATTAAATCCTTCCAAATGTCAGGCACTTGACTTTACTTTCAAGCATCGACGTGACTTACTTGAACTAGTTAACTCGCATGATCCCTGTAGCATAGATGGCACGGAAATTGAAACCAAATCAAGCATTAAATACCTTGGATTAGTTCTTTCCTCTGACCTTTCATGGTCATCCCATATCTTATCTATCTCTAAGAAAATGTTTCGTCTTACCTTCTACATTAAAAAGTTAAGACAATCAGGTATCAACCAACCTTTAGTTTTGCAATTTTTAAACTCCTGTATTTTACCTATTGTACTCTACTGCTCTCCATTAATCTTTCCTGGGCTTCTCAAAAAAGATTATATCATATTACGAAGAGTATTAAATGCTGTGAGTAGAGCTTGTGGTCTGCCACTGCATGAGCTCGCTAATACTATAGTCGAGAGGCATATAAATTCCTGTACGAAATGGGCAAAGGCTATAATGTCAGACCCTCTGCACCCCCTTTATTCACACCTGTCCCCTTGTATCTCATCAGGTAGGACGAGAAGTCAATATAAAAAGATATATGCTCGTACTACTAAGTATAGAAATTCTACAATACCCTATTTAGCGCGTACTTTATGTGACGAAGACTCTGTTAGACGTGAAACTTACAAGTTACTATGTAATTAGCACAGTGAATCGACCCTTTTATCGTTCATCTTTCTGTATTTTATGGTGTCACACTTTCTATCGTTTAAATCGTTACTCTTTTAGATATGATAGAGAAGATTTGTAGCTCAGGTGGATAATTTTGATGTGGTTTTGTTCTCTGAGCTGGATAGTTAGTTTGCGAAGCTTTCATCACCTTACTGGGTGACATACTTCAAATTGAAGTATGCGCTGAAGATGTCACCCAGTAAGGTGATGAAAGCTTCGCAAACTAACTATCCAGCTCAGAGAACAAAACCACATCAAAATCGTTACTCTGCTATTTTATTTTAGTTGGTATTACTATTATTACTACAATTTTATACTTTATGCATATTTTTCTCCGTATTGCATACAGTATTTTGCTATGTAGCTGCTATAACAATCGTTTTATTACTATTATGTAATGTGTATTTTTAATTATTTTTGTCGTTTTTGAGTAAATTAGATGCAATATTGTACTGAACACTTCAAAAGACTTCTAAATCGCCCGCCACCTACAACGCGCCCAACAATACCAACAACGGAAGCAGAACTACCAGTGAACATTGACCCCCCGACGAAATCAGAAGTCCTGAATGCAATCAAGATGCTTAAAGCTGGGAAAACACCGGGACCAGATGGAATCCCAGCAGAAGCTTTGAAAATAGACCCAGAAACAACAGCGGACTTCATGACACCACTGCTGGAGAAGGTGTGGAAAGAGGGCAAAGTACCCGAGGATTGGAAGAACGGATACTTATTCAAACTTCCAAAGAAAGGAGACTTAAGTCAATGTAAAAACTGGCGTGGAATTATGCTTCTGTCCATTCCAAGCAAGATACTAAGTCGCATCATCCTGGAGAGAATCAAACAAGCCCTAGATGAAAAACTTCGTCCGGAATAGGCTGGATTCAGGAGAAACAAATCATGTATTGATCAAATCGCCACTCTACGGATCATCATTGAACAAAGCTTGGAATGGCAGTCACCTCTCTATCTCAACTTCATCGACTTTGAAAAGGCCTTCGACAGCGTCGATCGAGAGGTCATTTGGAAACTACTTCGCTACTACGGGGTTCCATCAACAATTATACATCTCATCCAACAGTTATACGACAATGCTGCATGCCAAGTAATCCACAACGGGAAACTTACGGAATCCTTCAAAGTGAGGACGAGAGTGAGGCAAGGCTGTCTACTATCACCAATGATCTTCCTGATTGCAATTGATTGGATAATGCGACAGACAACGGCAACCAACGAGGGAACAGGCATAAAATGGACTGACACAAAAGACTTGGAGGATCTGGATTTCGCCGATGATATATGTCTGATTTCCCATAAACTGGAAGATATGCAAGTGAAAAGTAACAAGTTGGCAGAAGAAGCATCAAAGATAGGACTTCAAGTGAACATAGATAAAACAGAGGTGATGAAGATTCCTAGCCAACATCAACAGCAGCAACAACAACAGACAACAATCAGCATAAGTGGGAAGAACCTGAAAGAAACAACCTCCTTCACCTACCTGGGAAGCATCGTCTCAACTACAGGCGGAACTGACGAGGACATCAAAGCCAGAATCGGAAAAGCAAGACAAGCTTTCATTACTCTCAAATCTGTGTGGAGGTCAACAGCACTCAGCATCAAAAATAAGATCCGGATTTTCAACTCCAATGTGAAGTCAGTGCTACTATACGGATCAGAGACTTGGCAAGTCATAAAGAGCATCTCAAACAAACTTCAAACCTTCATTAACAGCTGTCTCCGCTCAATGTTCAAGATCAGATGGTTGGCCAGAAAAGATCAGCAACAGGGATCTCTGGGAGCGAACCAATCAGGAACCGATTGTGAAATAAATAGGCAGAAAGAAATGGAGATGGATTGGCCATACGCTGAGGACACCATCAAGTGACATCACTAGACAAGCCTCGAGTGGAACCCGAAAGGGAGGCGGCGAGTTGGTCGTCAAAGGGTGACTTGGAGGAGGTCATGCGAGGAGGAGATGAAAGCATGTGGACATACCTAGAGCAGGGTGAAAAAGTTGTCAGAAAACCGAAGTCAATGGAGGTGCGCAGCTGAAGCCCTATGTTCCTCTAGGAACTAAAGGATACAATAATAATAATAATAATTGTACTGAATGCTGAAAATTCCTTGCTGTATCATTAGTACCTTTTTTGGAATAAAGCGAAAATTATTATTATTATGTATATAAACATATGTATATATAATTGTAGAACCAGAAGAGGAACTTATCGAAAAGGTTATTCTTTGCTCAATTATTTTGCGTTTCATAAGAATGGTGTTAAATGATTATGGTTAAAATCAACAGCATGTCCAATGTTTCTCCTTTGAAGTTCTATTTTCTTTATTATTATTATTATTACCGTTATTATATTTAAATTTTGTTAACTATGCTTCCATGTAGATATTTGGACCAGTAATGCAAATTATGAAATTCCGTTCAATGGATGAGCTATTTAAACGAGCTAATCAATCACATTATGGTCTTGCTGCTGGTATATGTACTTCAGATCTTGATAGAGCTATGCATGTTATGCAAGGTTTACGAGCTGGAACAGTCTGGTAAGTTCACTAAACATCACTTTATTCTTGCTTTTTTTCATTACTATTTACCTAGACTGTGTAATGCAGACTTTATATTATTATTCTTGTTTCCTGTAGTTCCTAGAGGAACATACAGCTTCAGCCACACGTCTTCATTGCGTTCGATACTCTGCCAACGTTTTCAGCTGGCTTCACATCTGCCCACATGCTTTCGTCTCCTCTTCACATCATCTCCTCCTCCATGTCACCCTCACACTAACGACCGACTGACTTGCTGCTTCCCATTCAGTCGGGTTCCACTCGAGACATGGCCTAGCGTGTGATGTCACTTGATGGTTTGTTTTCTGAGAGTATGTCCAATCCACCTCCATTTCTTCCTGCTTATTTGTGCACAATCGGTTCCTACTGGGTTGGTTCGCTCATTGTCAGAGATCCCTCCCTGTTTCTGATCTTTTCTGTCCGGCCATCTGATCTTGAGTAGTATTGAGCGAAGACAGCTGTTGATGTAGGAAGGTCTGTAGTTTGTTCGAAGTGGCCTTCGTAATGCGGTGTGGCACCAAGTCTCTGATCCGTATAGTAGCACTGACTTCAAACTGGAGTTGGAAATCCGCACCTTCTTTATCATGCTGTATAATGCAGAGGCTTTAAACATATATAAAGACGGATTACAACTTACGGTTCATTGTCATTGACCAGTTGCTATGCAGCGACTTATATTAATTATTTAATTGAATTTTAGATTTTCCCGTTGATTGGTCGGACCGAAGTACTCGATCTCAGGTTGTCATGTCGGCTTCTTGTACAGATGCCTCGACGATGTCTGGGCATGTAATAAGATTTTAATTGGTCGATGGTGACATCCAGATGACGAATCTCAAATAGGATAGGATGAAATGCGCATCCGAGATTCTACGGCTATTCACCATCCACCAATTAAATTCTAATCACATGCCCAGACATCGTCGAAGCATCTGTACAAGAAGCTGAAATGACAACCTGAGACCGAGTACTTCGGTCCAACCGATCGACGGGAAAATCTAAAATTCAATTAAATAATGCAAGTCTTGAAGTTTTTTTGACATCAGTCATTAGTCGTCAGCCACGAAATGAACATACCCTAGAGTCTTCTTATCGGTCCATTATAGGGGTGAGGACAAAAAGTTGCCAGTAATGACATTCGATAGTAGTCGCGTCATATCATAAAATGGTAAAAGTTGGAATTCATGGACCATTGGATTGGGTCCCAGTGGTTGAATGGTCTACGGGCTAGCTAGCCTTGTAACCAGAAGGTACTGGCTTCAAACCCCTATGGTGGGTGCATACTGGTGAAGAATCCCAATCTACTAAGACGAAACATCTTGTTGTTCAGTACTCCAGCGCAGATTTTCCAATGATCCTCTAACCGACGTCAGCTCATCATGAAATCCTGTAACCAATCAAATCCTTGAAAACCAACACTTGGACATTCTGTTTCTGTTTAGTTTTTTTCTGTTTTCTCTACCTTTGTGTGCTACATAGAGAGCAACAGCTTGAACTGCTACACTTCTGTGCAAAGTTCTTTGTTGAAACTTAGTCAGTCAATCTCATATGCGTCGGTGGCACACAGCAGTTAGGACTCGCGCTGATTATCCATATAGTTGGGGGTTCTATCCCTGCTAACAGACACCCGATGTCAATTGGTCGGTCTGCAAAATTTAGGCTGTCGATAGCACATGCTGAAAATTCCATACTTGTACTAAATATACAGTGTGAAATCAAGCTATAATCAAGAAGAAAAAAACATTTTTGGTAATCTGAAGCTTCAGGGAGGAGACTGTCATAGGCGATTTCATTGCCAATCATTTTATTCCTTTAATTTTACAACTTCTTTGTTTTATAGGATTAATTGTTATGATATATTTGATGCGGCTGTACCATTTGGCGGTTTTAAATCTTCTGGAGTTGGTCGAGAATTAGGCGAATATGGTCTGCAAAATTATACAGAAGTTAAAACTGTAAGTAACATTCGATATTATTTATTTAATTGCCACTTTTGATTTACGATTTTGGTGATAGTGGAACTTCGTATTTCACAGCCTTATCATTTACTGTATAGTCTCTAAACTCTGCATTAGCATATGATAGATCTGCAGAAATGCGTCGTTGGTACAGCGGTAAAATGCTCGCCGGCTACGCCCCGTGTGGTCCGGGTTTCGATCCCCGGCCACAAATGCACTCCTTTACCCATCCCGTAAAAATAAACACCATTGCTACCGAAACTTCAAGCCTGTAGCTTGAAGGTGTCCTAACTTCCACTGGGAACGTAAAGGATTAAAAAAGAACTGCATAAGTTATACGGAATCATAAATTCTGCATATATAAAAGTTTACTGAACTTACAGTCGATCTAATTTGTCTAAGTGGTTGACCTATATTTTTAAAAATTTTATTTTCACACTATTTTAAACCTCTAATCCTTATAACACTGATCATGACCCCGGAACTTCTCTTGATCTTAGTTTAAGGGAACTTGATCCTAATTAGTTTGTTTATTAGATGTATCACACACAGTGAGACAGTATTATTTACTGGATGACGTTTCGAACAAAATTTACTCATTGTTCATAATCATTTCATCAATTATAATCACACGGCTTCGAATCAATCAGTAGTCACATCGAGATAGACAAAATTCACCAATCGATAAGAAGGAAATCTCACACACAAAGCGTCAAATTGCAACTCAAGAAAACAATGAGCACCAATAAGAATACAAGTATCCTAAAGGTGTGACAACACACAAAAGCAACCAATTACGTTCAAGGTCATCAGGAAAGATGACTAATAAACTCGTGGAGAAATCAAAAAGCTCAATTCAAATTGAAGTATACGTTGAAGATGTTGACTAGTAGGGGGCGATGAAAGCTTCACAAATAAACCACCCAGCTCAGAGAACACAACCACATCAAAATCATCCACCTGAGCTACAAATCTTCATCATATGTAAATTAGATTTTAAAACTGCCATCTTATCCCACCCTGTAGTGTATGGTTGCGTGTAATTCCACTTAATGCTATAGCTGAACTATTCTCTAGATTTCTTATCTTATTCGAGTCAACTAATCTAGATTTTGCCAGGTTTTTACGCTCGGCTAGTCTGACTGCCCCTGTTCTACTAGTTTGACCTATGTATTTGAGCTCACAATCATTGTAGGCAGGGTATTAGATAAACTAAATTGTTTTGTTTTAAAGGCTCCACTGACAAGATCTTCTAACCAACAAAACTTATTTCTAATTGAGTTTGTGGGGAGTTTGAATGCCAGTCACTTTTATTCCTGCCTGCATTGTTAAGAATTCTCTGCCGTAAGGTTTCCAAGGTTCCTTCTTTGTATGAGAGGAAGTACTACTGATGATTTATATTCTCTATTGTTGGTGTTGTCATTATCCTGCGCATGTTCGGCATGCATGTTGATATTATTATTATCACTACCACCACTATCATTATTTATTTAATTTTTACATTTCTCTACATACTTTCTCACTAATTTATCAGGGGAATTATTCAGTTTCAAAGCTTCTCTTATGTGCCTCACTTCCTGTCTTAGATTTTCCTTCGAAACATTGCCATCCAATAAATAATACTGTTTCACTCTGTATGAAATATCTAATAAACAAACTAATATGGAATTACTTACTACCACAGTGCCCAAATTTTACACATGTATAAATATTTACTTGATCTTGTCATCTATGTTACGTCACTTAATCTACTTAATTTTTCTTTAGTCTCTACCTAATCAATTCTCTTTTGAATAGTTTGATTGTTATGTAAAACTCTAAAATTCTGACAATACATTCTTGGTAACATGCCTACTATTTCTAAGATAAAGTGTACTATGTATACACATAATTGTACAATCTGAGAACGATATCTCTGAAGCACGTTACCTGTCACTCAATACCCCTTTCGTGGATGGAGATTCCAAGCTGTGTATGAAATGTGTCAAGTGTAACGTTTATTTATTATTGGTTGATGGTGACTAGCAGTGAAATCGAGGATGCGCAATTCGGCTTGTTTGGAACTCGTCCAGCAGTTGAGATTAATCAGTATGCTAATGAAAAAAAATTCCAAGTAATGGTTTGCAGGGATCTGGTTGGTTTCAAATTTGATCAGGAACTCACTTCAGTTAGAGAACCAATAAAAATCAGCGGCGAGTAAAAGACATCCGTTTCGCACTCTTTGGGGATTCTTCATCAGTGCGCAACTATGATCTTCCCCCCGCTGGCGCAGAAAAACCGAGGACTTTCAAGCTATAAGGTGAACCCACTGACTATGCAGCCATTGGAATGGAATCAATCAATTGCTCATCAATTTTGACTTCTGACAGTTAATGTTATCGATGACTATCTGTCCTCACGCCCAAATTGGTGAACTCTATTGGTCACTAATTCCCACTAACAACTTCAGGCAACTTCATCCTGTCATCAGTCACTCATTAGTAAACTGAATAATCAACCATCGCACCGTGTAATCTGAAGGTCCCTGGATTCATCGGCACATACTGTTGTAGAGTCCCAAACAAGGACAAAACAACTGTTCAGTACTTCCTGCTAGTTTTCAATGGTTCTCTAAATGAGCCCAGTTTGTGATCAAACTTGAAAAAAAAGGAAAAACTCTCTTAGTGACAATTTCATTTTCTTAGCCCTACATTTATATTTGTGTATGGATTTATAATAGACAATGAATGAAGACGTCTGCTATATGTGTGCGTGTTTTTGTGTGTGAAAATTTGATGGGGATTAGAAACAACTGGAGCACAATAATATCGTTATTTTAGACGACTAGCTAACACAAATTACTATGAAATATAAGTGAATAACGAGAGAACACTTCTATACGGGTGAGAAACTTGCATTGTGCGCCCGTCACGAAAAGAATTTCCAACAAGTCACTGAAGACTTTTATCAACCGCCTGCCACCTTCGCTGGCTGGCTCCCATACTGAATATCATAATGGTCAGCCGGCTGGCCAGAAATAAATTAGCCACAAGAAACTCTGACCGAGAACAAACCAACAGACAAAATAGCCCATTGCTCAACTGGTGGATATGCAAGGAGAAAATGGAGATGGATTCCAGGATTTCATCATGAGCTGACATTATTTAGAGAACCATTGGAAAACCTGGGAGTACTGGACAGCTGTTTCGTCCTAGTGTTGGACTCTTCAGCAGTACGCACCCACCGGGATTCGAACCCCAGGACCTTCCGGTTACAAGGCGAGCTCGTAGACCATTAAGCCAGATGGATTTATTGGACATACACTGAGGAGACCGTCGAATGAGATATCAGGCGCAGTGTAGGCCAGTGCTTGAGTGTGTAACCCGAATGGGAAGCGATGATTAAGTAGTATGAAGGTGACATGGAGCAGATGAGAGGTTATGGGCAATCGTGCGCCCAGAGGAAAACGGTATCAGAGAATAGAACAAGGTGAAGATGTGTTGTTGAGGCACTATGTTCCACTCGGAACCCAAGGGAATAATAATAATAAGAGTAGTATGTTTTGCAATTGATAGTGTTCTCTGAGCTCCTTGGTTTAATTGCGGAGCTTTCATCGTCTTTCTGGACGACATCTTCAGCGCAGTATTTAGGATAAAGTGAAATGATTTAATTTCTTCATCGTCCAGAAAGACAATGAAAGCTCCGCAATTAAACCAAGGAGCTCAGAGAACACTATCAATTGCAAATCATCCACCTGAGTTACAAATCTTTTCTATTATTTCAAAGAGTAGTATGTACATTTCGGTTTTGTTACTTGGAATGAATATGAATAAGTTTTATTTTAGAGATCGATACGCAGTACAATAGACGTAACATAACTAGGTTGTCCACAGATGGTGTATCGCGAAGGTATATAATATATATATATATATATATATATATATATATATATTATGATATGTTTTTTTCGTTGTTTTGTTTGTCTAGGTAACTCTTAGCATGATTGAAAAGAATTCATAAACCGGACCTTAAATTCAATTTAACAATGATAATAATAATAATAATAATAATGGACCATGTGTACCGTCAACCATCTGGACAGGTCGCTATCTAATTCTTTTATGTGCTCTATCTTTCTTTTTTGGTTTGATTTCTGCTAAATACACTCTGTGGAAGTATATTGACAAAAAATATATGAATACACAGTACACATAACCATTATATGCTTTTTTTCTGTGCATTGAGGAGGTTCGTGTAGCGACTGAATTGATTTTCTGACTTAGGGTCGCTAACCGCACACTCAATCTTCCCTACTTTTCCACCGTTGGAACCGGTTAGTAAGCTAGATGGAGAGACCCCGTTAAGTGGAATCGTGCGCTAAATGGGACATGAATAGGGAACGACTAGTCGGATATATGAATCCAAGGGTAACATTGAGCAAATGTGAGCTTATGGGCTGCGTTGGAGCCAGCTTAAAGGGGATGCAGAGAATAGTGTGAAACAGAGAGGTGTGTCGTTGAGGCGCTATGTTCCACTTCGAACCTAATCGAATAATAATCACAATATCAATACATTCATATACGATGGGTTATTTTCTTCACTGCTCTTCCGTGACCACCGTTTTGTTCTCCTGATATAGAAGTATAAAATGTAACCGTTTTTCTCACATAAACGATTTGCAAAACATGATAATAGAAAAGCTTAGCCACCATCTTGAATGAGCAGAGGGGAGAAAAAAGGGTAAACTATATTCATCGAAAATCTATCAATGGCTATTACAAAGAACTTTCGGCTACTGTGTCACTCCAGCAGAAGTGTCACCACTAGCGTGTGGACAGTGGTTTTAACAGATTCCAAGCAAATCCATGTTAGAAAACATAAATTTACATTTTGATGATTGGCGCTGCCTTACTCTGGGAAATACTAACACACTCGGCGTATACCGATTGAAGTGGGTAATGTAGATTATCAACAAGGAGGACAGATTAAGATCAGATCTCCCATGTCGTTTTATGCGGTTTCCAAAGATCCTCAGTTATTGTAGGAGATTAAAGAAGTTCGTCAACTCAATTGGACCTCGGGCGTCCCACCGTCAATGATCAATTTGTTTATCCGTCCGGATTGAAACACATCGTGGTCAGTATAATTTTTAAGAGACAAAGCTCGGTAGCTTCATTGTGGTGTGGTTATCTGCGTGCACACTCTCTTCAAACCATAGTCAATGAATACATCTTTCAGCAGTCGTAAGTGGTATGCAATCGTGGTGTTAAGAGCAGCTTAGCGACCAGGTTAGATTGGCCAGGTCAAAGAGTCAGCTAGTAGTGTAGCTAACGTTCAGGTTTAGCAAGATTGATAGCCACACATCAATTGTGAGCGTTACATCTAGTCGAAACCAACTGGAAACGAGTTAAAAGTCATTAAAGCAGTCTAACTAATTGGTTTCCCAAACTATCACGAAAGGTATTCATAGTCATATCAACTTCACTCAGTGGGTTAGAATCAATTCTTTATTTGAGATACGATGAAATCAACTTTGGATTTCGGTGATAGTATGTTAATTCTCAATCTGACCGGTTGATCAGTTCGTTACTGTATTATACAGCTAATTTTTCCTTAGACCTTAAAATGGCTATTGTAAGCGGTTATCGCGCACTGGCGTCAGCCCTTTGTTTTTCCCTCTGTTTGGATTGCTGGCTGTTTATAGTTTCAATGTATCATCGAATTACGACTGAAATTATCCAGCATACTCAAGGTCATTAACGGGGTGAGACGCTCAAAGGTCATTTTCGTCCATGTTAGTCGGCCATGTTGGGTTGCATTTCCGTAGCTGTTGTTTCGCACAACGGTTTTCCCGTTTATCCTGCATTTATTGACAACCCATCTTGATGCGCACTGTTCACAAATGCTGCTTTTCACCTCACTGTTGTTTTCGTTGCTGTTAAAATGACTAATTTCGTATGTTTCGCAAGTTTTTACCACCAGGGCAGTGCATTCATTTCATTACAAATGTTTCGCACGTTGTTTTCATGCCTGGTTGCAATGTTTTAGTTGTTTTTCAGCTATTAATGAAGTAGCTCTGCGTAGAAGTTTTGGAAAATATGCACATGAACGTGTTTAGCTGACAAAAGATGTTGGTCTTGGTCCATTTGCTGGTTGCCGTTATTGTTTCTTGTTCAATTGATTAATTAGTATGTAGAAATCTGGAAAAAACAATGTCTTTCACATGCATGTTTACAGCTTACAGCAATCTACGAGTCAATCTGGTGAGGAGAATACGATCAGGTTTGATATTGGCAAGATTTACGAAGAGCATATTAAACCTGGAGATTTCAGAACTTGGTTTAAAGTTGCAAAGGCTTTGAAGCTTTTCGGGAAGCTGAGTATGCCATCAGTGTATATTATCAGTTAAAGAATCAGATATATTGTCAGAGAATCTATATCAAACAAGGTTGAGTCACATGAGAAGTATGAATCTGTTGTGCCTGTATGTAGTTCTGGAACTGAAGGAAACTTGAAAGCAATGAGAAACCCCCTTGAATGGTAAGTGTTACCTATCCTTATTAATGCCCAATGTACTAGATTCAAATACATGAACTAAAACCGCCTGTAGTAAAGCCAGTGTTAACAGCCATTCAATGTGTTGCAAAACCACTTCAAAAGCGGATAACATGGTGGCCGAATTACTGCATTTCCAAGGTCATTCTCACTGTATATGGACATAGTTTCTGTCTAGCACTTTGCCTGTTGCTCGAGATAGTAAAAGCTCTCTTCTGGACTTCCAATCTGTTCTCTTGCCTTTACGTTCCAGTGGTGTTATTGTTATGGATGTTGATGTGTAGTTAGGACAAACTGGCCAACGCATTAACTAAGTATTCGCTAATAGTCTCCATCATGTGGTTCTGTGGAATGCAACAACTTCAGTTGATACACGTACACGTCAGTGCAGAGCTGTATATTCATCTTTCTTTGCGTCACTTGGTGTTGTTTATGAGTAAAAAAATGTCTAACAGTTTATCATACTCGAAACAGTCAATCTGAAGCAACAATAGTCAAAGCGAGCCGTTTAACTCATCCGTCACTATAGTTACATTCTAATTCATAAAAAAGCAAAACCTTCAGTAACTAAGATTATTTTTTATTTATTTGAACTCATAAAAACTTGGTACAATATGGCACCAAGAAGGATGCGCCATACAATAATAATAAAACAACATAGATCAAAAGAAAAAAAAGAAAGAAGAGAATATATATATATATATAAGTAGAGAACGGATAAAGAACTTCATCTGGAAGGAAGACAGTCATTGTCAGCCACGTCTCGTAAACCGTTAATGCCCAGCTCTTGCTACGCTGGGACTCACGCTGTTCTTTGAAGTTTCTCAGAGACGCTTAGTAATAACGGATGAAAAAACCAAAACACCGATTGGCGACTCGAGGATTCTTTATTGTAACACCAACATATAAATAATGTTACAACTAAGGTTTCTGACGGAATTTGGCCTGACTTCTTTCTGAACAGCGACCGATGAGACGGTGACTGTGTATCGATGTCTCCGCGAAAATTAGGGAATTTGGTTCTGAGCAAACAACCATGAATTGATCGTTCAATCTTCAACTACATTGGCAATCATGCTTAACATGTTCTAACACTATTCGTTAACTATCATCGGGAAGGGAAGAAAGAAGGAAATTGCAACACGTTCGCCATTGATTATGATTCTTGGCCATATGCGATATCGTTTCGAGCTATCTCGCGGCCCCAACCAGGGCGTCGTGACGCACCTTCATCCCACGACGCCGCGTCATGGACTGACCACCTCTCCGCCTTTTCCATCCCGTCCCAGGGCTAGCGAACAGAGACCTGTATGGAAGCCTCTGGGATGACATTCTTAGCCACGGGAGCCGGTCGGTGTTTCCAGATGACGACACTCAATGAATGGCGATCTCTACTGTGTTCAAACACACGCCGCCAGACCTCAGAATTACTCACACGATGATGCCATCGAACCCAAGCAATCCTGCGGAGACGGCGATGATTGAACACGCAGGGTCGCCGCACATCCTCAGCCTACTCGGAGAGGCCAGTTTTCACAGGAGTAGAGCAGGGCAGCCCGCACCGAAGCATTGTATACCCGACCTTTGACAGCCAGGCTAACGTCGCGACGGCGCCAGAGGTGGCTCAAGTTGATGTATGCCACCCTAGTCTTCATTATACGGTTGGAAATCTCATCCGTCACCCCTCCGCCAACACTCACACAACTACCCAGGTACACAAACTTACCAACAACTTCAAGCGGTTCACCCGCAAGAGTGAGTGCAGGTACAGGCTCCTGCCAATCTTGTAACAGTACTTTGCACTTAGATGGCGCAAAGTAGATACCATACTTACAGACACTGATCGCCAACTGATTAAGTGCGATTTGGGCAGCCTGCATGCTATCGCACAGTAAGACGATATCGTCTGCATACTCGAGGTCGAAAAGTCTATCTCCAGGTAGCAGATCTACACCACCTTCACGCACATCCATCAGAGCTGACTCCAGAATGTCATCGACGGCAAAGTTAAAGAGAAATGGAGAGATTGGGCAACCCTGCCTAATTCCACTGTTGGTTGGAAACAGCGATGATAGTTGGTTGTATGCCCTCACTCTATCTGAGGTGTTTCTCTATAGGGCTTTCAAGATGTTAAAAAATTTCTCAGGTACACCTCTCTCTAACAAACAGTTCCAGAGCACAGTTCTGTCCAACGAATCGAAGGCAGCCCTAATATCAAGAAACACAACGATCGTTGGCCTGCAATACGTGTGGCGGTGTTCCAACAACTGACGAAGGGTGAACACATGATCAATGCATCCACGACCTGAACGAAACCCAGCCTGCTCTTCGCGAATCAATCCTTCACGTATTTCGCACAGCCTGCGAAGCAAGACAGCAGCCAATATTTTAGACGCGACTGGTAGCAGACTGATACTTCTATGATTGTCACACGAATTACGCCGACCCTTTTTAGGGATGGGGACGATAATGGCTTCGTTCCACATTGATGGTACACTCTCTGTCTCCTATACCTTCCCGAACAAACCAGTTAGGGCCATTGTGAGAGTCTCGCCACCAACTTTAGAAAGAGCCGGGGGTAAATTGTCTGGGCCGGGCACTCCATGGCGTTTCAATACTTGGAGTTCCTTACGGGCCTACGCTTTGGTGGGTGGGTCGGTACTAACCGACCAAGCAGCACTCGGGCTAATGAAAGTATACGCTGAAGCCGGTGGCCAGCTAAGCTGCTTCCCGAAGTGCTCTGTCCAGCTTTCCAGACATCTTTTCAAGCTGGTAATTGGCGTGCCATCTGCCTCAAAGACAGTCTCGCTGACACCTTGTTTCTTGGTGCCTG